AAAAAAAAAAAACAGTGATATCGTACCTTAATAGGTTCCTCTTAATTCCTGAAATTTGAGATTGAAAAGTTAAACTGAGACTCGAAGAGTGGGAGTGGAATTGTTTGTGTGTTAAACCCAAAGCTCCGATTGGGAAAATGATAAGGTTTCTAGCAAAGCTCCAAATTCCATATTTAGAGCTTCAAACACTTCTCACTTTTAAGTTTTAATAATTAAATGGAAAACATATTTGGATAAATATAATATAATTCATGTTTGAGGATAAATTAAAGGGAAATGCTACCGTCCCGTTATGAAATTAATAGTATTTGATCATATGCAATTGCACATTGTAAATAGAATATTATAAGTTACATTTATGCATATAGTATTAAAATTATAAGTTATACAATGATATTATATTTTAAACATTGAGTATTATAAATTATAATTATGCATATAATAATAAAAATATAAAATAGATAATGATATTATGTTTTAAAATTTGATCATTGGTTAAAATAAATAGTACAAAACTATTTGATTGCATATGACCAGCTATATTAATTACATAAAATATAATAAATAATGTAATTTTGAGAGATCACCAATTTAATAGCTTAAAAATATTAAATTTATTATAACATTTCATTATGTGATTTTAAGAAATTTTACTATGAGATTAAAATAAATTAACTTATTTAAAAATACAATCGCTACATAAGATAAAAAATATATAACATTAATTTTAGAATAAATAACTTCAGCATAAAGTTTACAATAATTTTTTATGTTTATGTAACTTTCATATACCATTTAGTTTAAATTATAGTCATTAGTTTTAATAATAACTATTATATGATATAATAAAAGTATAATTATTACTTCATTAATATAAAATGTAACGGTTTTTGTCTTAATTAACCTAAAAAAAAGTGCAATAGAATAGTTTAGCATTAATTAGATATGGAGGAATAAATAATAATAATAATAATAATAACAACAACAACAACAACAATAATAATAATAATAATAATAATAAAAGATTGTAACATAAAAAGATGGTAAACAATAATTAATATTATTAAATTTATTATTAGTAGTTAAATATAGAGAGAGATAGAGAGATATAAATGATAAAATTTGTAAAGGTTTTTGGAGGAAAATTGAAATGAGTTTTATTAAATGCCATTAGCCATCAATTATATATACTAGTATTCTACCCTGTGCACATGCACAGATATAAATAAAATTTTATATATTATACATTATATATATATATGTTTTATGTAAAATTTAAAAATCATAAATTAGATAATAAGCATATCACATTTATAAATTTTATCATTACTATAATGACGACATAAATATAAACTATTTAACGTACATATGAATCTTTAAATTTGTATAGGGTTAGTCGATTATGATAATTAATTGGATAAAAAATATTTAAATTATTATTATAATATTTGTGTACAAATCATTAAAAAGTTTAGTTATGCCATAAAAGATAATTAATTAATTGTAATAAAAGAAACTTGCTTAATGAGGTGAAAAAAATAACAATTTTAAATATATATTTTAAAAAATATTAGAATAGAATAACATTTAACGTGTCTTCATTATTAGTTAATAGTAGCATATAATAAAATAAGTAAAAAATATAATTGTGATTAATGTAAAAGTAACGGAAAAAAGGCGGAAAAACGAAAAGAGTTTTATTAAATGCTTATCTGTCAGTAATTATATATATATATATATATATATATATATATATATTTCATTGTATTTGTAATCGTTAGATCGTCATGACCCGATGAAACGAGACCGTAACATCTCCTTAAATTAAAAATTATTTTATAAATAAATATCGGTTGCACCAATCAAATATCGGTTGTTTGGCTGACAATTTTCTTTAATTTTAGATAGAATTATATCATCTTTTAAATTCATAATTGAAATTTTTTAGTTCGAGAATCCTAGTTAGCAGCCACACGCACGAGGCCTTCGGGACTGTACTGTGTGTTCTCGGGCCCGTCGAGGGCATCGATCGCAATTACCCTCGTCCGGCGCGCCTTCCGGTCGTGTCGGCACCCTTTGTGTCCTCGTGGGGGCCGGCAAATCGGAATGAGGAATCGTAGCCCGTGTAGTTTGAGAATCAATCTCTCGGGCCCGACTATCTCGGTGGACTCGTTGTCCACCTACCCACTTCTCAACTTCATCCTTTATTCATCAACTGCACTAACAAAAAAATATATGTTCTATATTATTCACAAGACATGTACACATATATATAGGAACATAATGAGCCTAAACCTAATCCTACAAGATATATACAAAATATATATTAACCATATATACAAAATATATTCTAAC